AATGTGGGTGGACGTTACAGTCGCTGTAGGCAGAGTCGCAAACTGCAGTGCATCGCGGGGCGCGCGCAGCGACGATGGGCTTTTTGGGTTGTCCCTCAATGTCACCTGGCTGTTATCGGCCCTGGCCCCGACTTCTGTTGCAATGAAACAAGGTAGAGAAGGAAAAATAGAGTCAGTCTCCGTCGCTCTATTGCCTGTTCTAGCGGTGTGTGAATCCAACGCGGGTACGGATACTGGGCAACAGGCACATGGAGCGGAGATCGGATGGCCTCAATCAACATTAACAACAAAGCCCATGGGGCCACAACGCTTGAACCCGGCAGCCTGGCAAGGGGGTGGTCCGTTGTCTGTGTGTGCCCCCTTTTCCCACCAATGTGCAGTCTCCATTTAGCTCGAGGAATTCCCACGGCACTTCTCCAGAAACGTGATGCCAAGACTTTTTGGAAAGGAGATGATGCCAAGACTGGAACCTCTGCCGAGACTTTTTAGCGCACTTTTCACACACGAAACCGAGGTCACTGACCAGCTCAGCTCTGCGCGATCGTGACGAACGTCTTTTGGGTTTGCCAAATTCTGCTCGACGCGCTTCGTTGAAAAACTCTTTTTTTGCAGCTTCAACGGCCACCGGACGGCCGAATTCGAGATTCAACGGCTTTTCCCCGGACGCTCCGAGAGGCCTCCCGCCTCCCCCGTCTGGAACCACGTCCGGCGAAAAAGGGGGCCGAATCCGCCGCTTACGGGGGTCGGAGTCGCCCGGCTAGAGCTGGCGAAAATGCCAACAGAGGGTCTGGAGTGGGTATTGTCCTTGGGCCATGTCCACCCCGAGATTGCGCCCCAAACGGGAGCAAGCATCGGTTGATGTGCCAAGTGGGCGTTGGCGCTGTATTCTCATCCAAACATTGGACTCGGCCGCCAACGTGCTTTTTTGCCCGCGGCAACGAGACTGCTTCAGGTTAACATTGAGATCAACAACAGGAATCGGGGCTTTTTTGGGTACTCTGCTCATCCTTGATTCCTCCGGCTGGTACAATGCCCACTTGAATATACTAAGAAAACCTCTATGTTGGAGACGTATCGTCAACCGCACCAGACAGAATCCAGTAAAGTTGCTTTCGTCCGAGAAAGCTCGTAAAAAATCGGATTCATCTCATGTTTAATCTATCTGCATTCCATGTTCTCAGGTGAGCACACCTAGCCAACCCCTGATTTACATTGTGAGGCAAGTGAGGACCAGCCTCACGCCTTACTTGCTACCCTACCTGCGGACAATCAGATCTTAAGCCAAGGAATCTTTGGATAAGCATAGGGGTCTTGCACTAGGATACGAACATTCAGCCCCCCGTGAACGCATCGTACAGATTGCCTTGCAGCACAATCGACGTTGCGATTACAACCCGAACCACTTTTGTTGGGTTACCTACTGGAAGCAGCCGACGGGATATGATCTAAACAATCGTTCGGATGGAGTACCCATTCCCAATTATTGATTCTCAGTGGAGGGAGAATCACTTCCGTGGATTTCGTGCATCTCCTCGGTAGCATTGACTCCCGTTCGGTCTCACACCATGAACGCATGATCGTGAAAAAAACAAGATTTTCTCGCAGAGTTATTCGCGTTCGTAAAAGTATCCGAATCAGACTTCTCCGCAAGTCATTCTCCAGAAATGACATGTCGTCGACGTCTTTCTCTAGAACAAAGGAGCCGGCATGCTCCACGTTGGGCAGAATGCCGTGGGCAGAACGCAATGGAGACGCAAGGCACGTCGGAGCTCGATTCCGCCAAATGCCAGCGCAGCAGGACCACAGCTGGGTCATCTATCCTTGCTGGACGTACTGACATCCTTGCCAAGGCATTCGGAAATAGCCCTTTTGATTTTTTGATTACCATTACCGTGAGAAATCTTCACCGCATAGCAAGAGACGGCCGCCGACATTCAGCGTGGCGGGGAACAGCTGGTCTAGCCTCGTGTAGCTCCAACACAAAGCTTCCTTATCAATATAGCCGCTGAGCATGTTACCAAAGCTGTGGTCTTTCATCCGATGATTTCGATAAAACCACCTCCAAGCACGAATGAGGCCTTCTCCACGAGCCAACAACTCCGCGCCTACAGGAAGCAAACACATCCACCGCGGCACAGCCTGGCATCTTAAGTGGGTGCTCAAAGCGGGCGCCTCGCCCCTCAAACACAGCAGCCATTCTCCATTATTCAATTTGTATGTTGCTTCTATACAGGTTCAGTAGACGATAGACTTGCTCTCTTTACTGGCTGGTATCTTAGGATACGCTGTCGTTGCGGATCTCACCGACTCAGGGGCCTACATGGACCCAGCCCCCAACATGAAGCCTTGCTTTATGGTTCGGACGAAGTATGTCTAGACCGCCGGGGAGACGGGACAACCTACCGATGCAGCTAGAATATTCGGGATATCTAAGGAGATTGTCGGGGGCCGAGGACAAGCAATCTAGAGGATGGGAGCTCTCCTTGACCGAGATACACTCCGTCCTTCGCACTTTTGTGTCCACACTAATGAACTCATCAATGCCCACGCTAATGACCCGACCGAGCTCTGGCCAGACCCAGCGTTGGCCATCATCTCCTGGAGCCTTCACACCGCTGTCCAGTTGAGTCAATTTTGTCAGTCTTGGCCCAGCAAAGCTGACCGCTCCTTCGTGGTTTTTGAATCCAGTTGATGCCATCTTTCCTACCGGACGCCCCTTTGCGCTGTCTAAAAGCCGCTTCGTCAAGAGCTCAAGAGTCTGTTTGCTGCAAACGAAACACATGTGTGAGATAGCTGCGGAGACTAAAACATTGTTGACGTTCTGGATCCAGCGCATCCGATATCGTGCTATGCCTTCGCTCGGTTCCTTCCATCATATTTGTATTTGAAGTTATTGGTGACTATTTTTCGCTGCACCTCTTAATTATGACGCTAATCAAATTGTGCTACGCCATCATTGATGCTTGGAAGCCTTGAGATTGACAGCATGACACCGCCTACCGGCTTGATTCTTGCGACCCAGGAGGATGAGAGACCGGTGCCAAAGACTGTCCGCCAATTTTATAAGCATTGATCTGCGAAGGAAGAAGTCAACTCCCATTCACATTCAGAAGCGCTGTAGCCTGTAAACCGTTATCAGTGCCTGGCCGGTCAGTAATGAAGCCAAAGCGCAGTGGTTGGAATTTCCATACCAAGAGTTCTTGGAAGAAGCGTGCCTTAACCTGAATGAGCCGACACCTTTAACCATGCCTTCTCGCACTGTATTGCAATAATAAGCAGTGCCATACGTCCAGGGGACGCGGCATGTACCATCGACAAATGTGTGCGGTGTGTTGATGCACAGTTCGTGGCCCCACGGTCGGGCATCACCCGCTCTCTCTCAGCGATGGGCCAAGTCTCGTTCAAAACATGTTTTCGACGCGTAAGATTTCGAGTTGATTGCTTGTCGCGAAATGCGACGTCTGTGTTGAATTTGAGTTTGACTTATAATGAAGCTCGGTCAATAAGAGAACAAATTCCACGTGCCGGTGAATTCAAATGTCCCGGTTTCTTCGCACCTGGTCCCTGCGCAATATCGACATGTTTTGCTTGAAAGGAACGTGCGTCAGCGGGAGTTCATTTAGCCATGGATATCATGAATACAGTTCAAACTCTATTGAGCTACGCCGACCTGAAAGTCAATACATACGTAGATAAGATGGTAATTGCAGAGATGACAGATGCGATTGAAATTTCAAGTGACGTGAAAATAAGATAGTGACATTGATGAGAACTGAAGTCTTAATAGCCATGATGTTGCTGCTCTGACTTTGATCACTGGTGGTTATTTAGCACCACCAACCTGCTTCCCATGGCGAGGACTTTCTAAACATGACAATGAGGATGTCCCAGCTAGCATATCAAACGTGATTCTTCACTCGCAAAATATCATTCTCCTTCCTTGCGCTCTCTGTTGTCTCAAACGTCCATTCCACCCCTTTGATGTAAAAGACATCATTACCAGAAGTTACCGCTTCACTCTGCCGGAGTCCGACAACTCAGAGGGTTGAATCAATTATCAAGGGTCCTTGGGAGATGAGTAAGTTCTATCAAAATGCAGGAATTTAAATCACCGGGGTGGGTTTGTGACCGAGTTTAGGTTGCTATTGACTTTATAGAGTTTGCGTTAACATATTACGCCCGTTTCCACCAAACACGATTGGCTGTCTGTAACTTCGATTCACATGATGTTAAGTAATAGTCACAGGAGGATATCTTGGATGAAATAAATCAACAGCCTCGATGGCTGAGGTTTAAGATCTTACCTTAGTGAAGATAGTTAAGTAGCAACTCCAGTGCATGATACACTTGCGCTAGATCGTAAGAAGTCAAGATGTGTGACGTGTTTTTCGATGTGACCACAACCTGGGATGTTCTCATGAAAGATTAAAGAGTCTCTATTGTGTTTACAAATGCCTTCTAGAAGCTTGAATCCCTTACGTCTTTTTTGCTCATTTCTAGAATTTGATTCACAAGATCAAGCATAACCTTATTTGATCCGCGTAAATAGATATTCAACACAGCAGGCAAAACACAAGCTATGAAAGATGAAACCTTAGCACTTTAAAATAAGCACAGCGCTTTCTCTATTTACCTCCTGGTTATACTGTCGATTCAAGTCTGTCTGCTCTCTCCAGGACTAAAGAACGCAGAATCCAGCACTCACTACAGCCTTTAAAAGAGAAGCACAACAGGGTACAGAGGTGTGTATTTAGCAGACAATTTCTACACATAGCAAACCGCTGCTCTTATTCCGCTAGAATGAGAAAGAAAAGCCTAGAACTTGACGACCTCTCGTTCATGCTTGCCATGACTGTTACACGTGAAGCAGCCCCTGCAGTTCAACGGATCGAGAGTTTGTCCCACTCCGAGGCCCCCACCATCTCGTCACGACGCACGCTACGAAATTCGCTTGCCCTCCGCCCCTCCCATCGGAGTATGTTGCTCCACTCCTTCATCAAGCCCTGATGGTCTAGCGGTATGATTCTCCCTTAGGGTTGTTCTTCGACAATTCAGTCTGGGAGAGGTCCCAGGTTCGATCCCTGGTTAGGGCCCAACAGTTTTACTTTTTGAGGATTCTTGACTCTTCACTAGATTTCTCTGCTTTTGATATTCCTCGACCTACGCATGGAGTCCTGTGACGGGCAATCACCATTGCAGACGAAATTAAATCGATACGTACGTACTAACTGTATGTTCTATTATTTTCGCAACCCACATGCCGATCTCGTACCCCCGGCTGCCTTCAAAGCCCATCGGAGTCCTTGCCGAAATGTCGCCATTCGCACGTTCGGCTCCGCCGCCGATCGGCCGTTCCAAGCGAGTCAACGAATGCGAACCGAGTCTGGGGTCGTGACGGAGTAGTCCTTCTTGGCATGCAAAGAGAAGACGGCATCGCGAGCGGGTCGTGCAGCAATTGCCGATGTTCACCGCCATCGTCCGATATCCCTCGCAATGCAGGTCAAATGCCGCCCGCAACTCTGTTCAATCGCGCCAGGACAATGTTTCGAGACTGAAAGTTTGGATGAGTTAACTTCGGCCAAAGTCGGGCGAGAAGCAACCTTCCGTGCCCTTATCCGTCATCTCCGTCGCTCTCCATGAATCAGATACTTTTGACGGAAAAGCGCGACACAAGTCAGTTTCCCGTAGGTTGGGATGCGATGAAGCTGTTTAACTAAACAGCCGCTGAGTGGTCTTGGCAGTATGAAGCTGGGAGCCTCGTGCCATACTACCAAGATGCTCAGCCACAACTCAAGTGATGGGCGAAACGAAATGCGCTGCACGTTGAGGCCTTGAGATTGGATTGAGATGTACGAGATAAGATCACAGAAGTCTTGGCAAAACTATGACCGACTCAGGGTCTAGTTCCACTCACGAAACTCTAGATGTACCTTCTCGACTCTCGAGTAGCCTTGGATGCCATCAAACTCGTTGTGGATCTTCCATCAACGTCCCAAACATTCGAATCGCCACAAACAAGCCATGTTTGAGCCTCAATCGCCCCGATTGCTGAGGGAGAGAAAGGCGAGCCTACCAAGACGGTCCGACTCGTCTGAACTCTCACGACAAACGCAGTTTCATGCAATACAAAACAAAGGCACTTCTGCCCTTCTTGACATGTGCTTGTCCTGCATCGAGAGATGCTACATCGTTTAACAGCGCAGATTCATTGAAACACCCAGGTCTGGCAACTCTCAAACGAAACATTCTTGATAAGTGAGCCATCTCCACAAGAAAGAGACACTCGTTTCGCAATAAGCACGAACATTTCTGATGATATCAGAGCGACATGATAATTATTTGCATCCAATCTTCGTTAATACGTTGTCACATTCGGCAGAAACTCCGAATCTTTGAGACTCCACCAAACGCCTGTGACATGAATGATTTTTCTATCTTTGCTAATGTTCATGTATTTCTCTCGCTTGCTTGAAAAAGTGCTAAGTCTAACAACCTATTGAAATCTCGGGTATAGTGTGTGTACTCTTAAAAATCCATGTTGCGCCGACTTCTTGTTGAATGTTCCACTGAAGATAACCTTGTACAGTACTCGGATTGAGAAGAAAGGAGTTGCTTCGACTTCATTTCTGCTGCCGTGAGCCATCTATCGTAAAAGTAGCGCTTTGGGTGTAGTTGTGTCTGTTAAAGATCGGGTATCCGGTTGAAGAATAGAAACGCCCGTATTGTCGGACTTCATAGATCGTCGGCTGTTGGATACGGGTCGCAACTCGGTGTTGGTGTTTTGGGTCGATCTGGCAGACCTCGTAGACCTCGTCAGACTCTGGCGGGTCAGGTCGATGAGCTTCGGGAAGAACTTGACAGCAAGCTGCCTGGCGGCTGGCATGCAGGCAACAGAGATTCCGACGCAAAGCTCACATTGTGATTTGACAGGGATGCAGCTTGAAAATGTCTTGGCCAAGGCCATAGTTCAACACTGACCTGGATGTTAGCCCGCCATTTCCTCGGTTTCGGGAGATCTTGCCAACACTTACTGACGAATGTTATTGGCACCAAAGGCAAGAAGAATATCTGCTCTCAAGTCAGTGTTGTTTCAGGCATCAACTCAAAACGCCGGACATACAAAAGCCAGCACAATCGTCGTGTCCTCGACTCCCCATGTCGTCAGATGCAGGCCTCTTGCGATCATTCGGACGGCGAAGAACGAGACCGGTAGGATGAGCAAGAAAATCAACGTGTAGCGTGCCGTGCTTGTCGTGTCAGTCAGTGGGAATCCGCATGCCGTCCATGTCAGATTTGTCACGGCTACCCAGCAGGTCAGCAATCGATGCCAGCACTACCATCCATCAACACATACTGAGCGCCTCCTGGACAGTGCATGCCGTCTTTACGCAGTCTCCCACGAATCCATTGAACACAGGATTCGTACATAGCCATGTCGTGTTATCGATGGTGCAGGGTGACTGAGGCAGGGCCTTGAGAGCGCAGGTAACCTAGTGTAAAGCATCAGCGAGGGAATCCACATATGCAGAGCGGACAGATTCACGAACAGCACACTCCGGGGCCGCGCCCAAGGCGTCGGTGAACGCAGATCCAGACACCAGCCTCACGGCTCCCACAAGGAGCATCGAGACCAGAGAGGCCCTCATGGTGGACGGTTGATGCCGGTGGGATGACACACGAAAAAGACAATGGAAGAAAACAATGTTATACGGGATCAATCACCATTCACAAAGTACGCGTGCATGACGGGCGCAATGCGTATTAAGAGCGGTGCGTCCCCCTCCCGACGAAAACGGCCAACGGGCTTGGACTTCTATGATGCTCTTGGCCACTGAATCTGCCGATGCGTGTCAGGGGGCGGCGCGATGGCCCAGTCCCAGGAGATCGGCCACGATTGCACGCAAAGCGCCTTCAAAGGCTGCACGGCCGCTGGCATCGCGCGGGCTCTGGGGAAGCGAAGCGCCGCCATTGCTACTGTCCGCTGTCCGCTTCAAGCCAACGTTCGTTCCTGTCAAAGAGATTCATTGCTTTCGTTGAAGAAGATGGGGCCACTGGCGGAGCTGTGGCTGAGACATCGGCTGTCGTCGTGGAGCTTTGGGCGTCCTGTGGTCTTGGACTTGGGGGACGCGATTGGGTGCCGATGGCGTTCGTGGCGCACCCGGGGAAGAGGTTCCTGGGTGTCCTAAGCTTCATCGAGACGGGGTCTGGAATCTGGATGGGCTCTGATGGTTGGCATTTTCGCGTTGCTCGGGACAAGGACAGAAGCGAGCTGCTCGGGATCCTAATGCCATTGAAGCCGGGCTGAGCCACAGGCATCGTCAGTTCGAACCATTGAATTCGATAACCCTTTCCCCATGTGACTCGGGACCGAGATCCATTCTGTCGCCCCCTCGACCTAAAGCCTCACACCAGCGCCCCCCGCAAGGCAAGTAAACTTGTCAAGTTCAATCAATCAATCAATCAATTATGAAGCTATCACGAAGCAATCAAGTCAATTATGAGCCTCAAACTTG